ACATTATGTGACCGAATGGAGCTACTCCCAAAATGCCAAGTTAACACATGCAATTACATTAAGGGCAGTTTTTCTTCCTTTTCTAATTCTTTCTCTCACTTCTCAAGTTTTTCCCAATGAGCATGGATTGTTTCTATAATCAGAAAGTGTATTATTATTAAAATAATAACAATCACGGGACATGTCACCTCAACGCAGGTGGAACCCAGGTCCCTCTACTGAAAAGGGAGGCTGAAAAATGGCCACTAATCAGCTATGGAGTCACCTTACATTTGAAAACTTCAAGCCCTCTTACACTCCAAAGACACGTTTCGAGAGCTCCCCGTGTACTAAGCAGTTCTAAATCCTGCGAATAAAAAGTTAGTCAAGCCATCATGTTTTACAGGGAGGAGAGACAGAAATAGGCAATGTATAAAAATTATCAGTGGTTAAAGAATTCAAGTATGAAATTGAATTATCTCTAAAGTCCCTTTTAGCCTCAACACTTCATGAGTCTAATGCAAGGAAAAGCAAAACGACTGCTCTCACCGAGGAAGAAGCCAAAATGCCGTTCGGAAGAGAAAGATGAGATTAACATAGATTATGGTCGTAGGGCGAGGGACTGGCCATGGTCTCCTGGAGAAGGCTAGTAGAGCTGAATTTTAAAAGGTGAGACGGATTTAAATAGATAGACATGGAGAGAGAGGTCTGAACGGTAAGTAAAAAAGGCCTATGAGCAAAGAATGCTGGGTCAGTTCAGGAAAGAGCAAGTAAGGATTTAAGCAACAAACCTTTACTGGGTATTTACATCCCTGTAGTTGGCATGATGTTTGCAGACCATGTGTTCAACGAGACAAGACTCCTGCTCTCCGCCAGTCCCCCATCTGGAGGGGATGGGAAACGGGCAATGAGCCCACCGATGGCAAGGATCCAGTCTGTGTTTATCACACTACAGACTGCCTGCTCCATTTGATTGACGAGGGATGGATGTGCGTGCACTCGCGTGACAGACACGCTGTGAGAAATGCCGTCTGCCTGGTCCACAGGTCACTCGACGCCTATCTGGAGGTAAGCACAAGGTTCCTGGGTTGAGTTTAGGAGCACGAGCTGGGATGTGGAAGCCAAGATGGTGGGTAAGGAGAGGACATTTAGGCAGCAGAACTGATACGAAGGAAAAGTACGGGGAAGAGGGAAAGTTTAACATATCATGAAAATTACAAGCCCCACAAACAGAAGTTGCCTGTGCTCTGAAGCTGTTGGTGAGTCACAGTGTGGAAGAGTGGGAAGAGCGCTGGATTGGAGTCAAGAGAGCCGGTGTCAAGTGCAGACGAGGGCAGTACTCCTGCCGGACACTAAGCAACCCAGCAGCTGGCGTCTGCCACGCACTAGAGCAGTGATGGCGAACCTATGACACGCGTGTCAGAGGTGACACGCGAACTCATTTTTTTGATTGATTTTTCTTTGTTAAATGGCATTTAAATATATAAAATAAATATCAAAAATATAAGTCTTTGTTTTACTATGGTGGCAAAGATCAAAAAATTTATATATGTGACACGGCACCAGAGTTAAGTTAGGGTTTTTCAAAATGCTGACACGCCGAGCTCAAAAGGTTCGCCATCACTGCACTAGAACTTGACATACCTCGCCTCACTGGGTCAGTGCCACAACTCTAAGTGGTAGTATTATCGCTCCTGTTTTAGAGGTGGGGAAAGCAAGGTTAAGGAACTTGCCCAAGATTACACAGTGAATGGGGGGCACAACTGTAAGTGCAACTCAGACCTCTCCCCGAAGCCCACATTTTTCACACACCAGCTCCTCTTGTAATTAGAAGTAATTTCAGGTTACTATGGCCTCACCAGCCCTGTGCAAGAATACCCAACCCGTGCGCCTCCCAAACCTTACCCTCCATGTCTCTACGAAGCAATGGGATGTGGATAAAAAATATCCCTAGAAGTGCCTCTAACAAGATCTCAGTGGAGAGATCTTCCTTTCAGTAAGAAAATAAATGCTTCTCCTAAGAAATCTCAATTTTAAAGTACAAATACCCACGACTATGGAAAGCAGGTTAACCATACAAACTGAAGGGTCATTTGCATTCCTGAATGTGACAGCAGAGAAGCAACATGGAACAGCCACGTGATAGTCACAAGCAGTGCGGATGCCACCTGTCAGCAGTGGTTAACTACTGAACCCACAGTGACCTCCACTCTAAGAAACCCATCTCGGTAAGACTGGGCTTTACCACGGGCTCCGAAAGAAAAGCAGCCGCCGCCTCCCCCTTCCTGGCTTGTCCTCACAGCGTTACTCATCCCCTGGCTCCTACGGTGGGCCGCAAACAGGGCAGGTGGGTTGGACAATAACCTCTTAGTAATGTTGATAATAAGCTGCCTTACATCTGCATAGCTGGCACCATGTACAAAAGAATGTTCTCACATATTGTCTCATAGGGTTCATCCTCCCAACAGCCCTGTGAGTCAGAAAATCATGTGCTACTATCATATGTTATAGGGCCTAGAGAAGGTACAAATTACCACCCAGGAAATAAGCTAGAAAATGATGGAGGTGGGATTCCAACCTATGTCTTCCTACTTCTAATCTTAACCTCAGATCAGCCAGCATCACGGCTGGAGAATCCCCACCACCACCACCACCAATCCAACCCTCTCCTCCCTACTCCCCGTCCTCCCATTCTCGGTCAGTGGGGGAATCGCCACTGTACAGACACCAAGGAACCAAAGCCCTCTTCTGCTTTCCCAGGAAGGAAAAGCATGTGCCTACCTGCAGTCAGACTGCCCCAGGTGAGGGCTAAGAGTGCACTTGCATGAACTGGAGCACACCTGCTTACATGGCCGCTGGAATTCCACACCTGGCTTTTAAGCTCCACAAACAGCCTTTCACTCACCTAGAAGCATGGCTCGTTCACTAATTAAAGAGTATTACGCACTTCACTGCACACCAGCTAAGAACTTAAAATAAGGAAGCTTATGTGAAAGCATTAGCCCTGGAGATGGCACTAGGGATGCTTTATAGAAAAAGAAAAACAGAAAACATAACCCACCTGTGACACCACCACGCCCATACTTAACTTCTCTAATATGTCCGCCATAGCACTTAGAGATAGAAGCCACTCAGTATGGGACAAACCCCGGCAGGGCCTAGTAAAGAAGTTACATGGAGAGGGATGTGCAGCAAAGAGAATGAAAGACAGAGAGTCCAGTGAACCCACTTCTCCCACCACCATCTGCAAGGCCTCTGCTCCCTTCTGCTGTGGGAGCCCAAGAAGAAGCACACCTGTCCTCCAGACCAAAAGGACAGGGAGATAAGGGGGATGGGAAGGTCTTGGAACAAACTTGGCATCATGTTCTCCCTTGTAGAGGCTCAACATGGCTGCTCACTGTGATCAACGGGTGGAAAAGGCCAGCCTAACATGTGGGGTGGGGTCTCCTCCAGGTTTCCTGGGGTGCATGCCCTTTTTGACCCTCCCTGAATAACTTGAAGATCCAGCCCTGAAGCTCATCCCCTTTTCAGTCCTGGGGGAGCCCATACATCGAGGGGCAGTCCAAGGAGGGACCCTCCACCAGGTCAGTCTTGAACTTGGGAGGATAACATTCCACTTACTGAGTAATAAACTGTATCCACAGGCAACTTCACTATTTGAAACACGCCCTGGGGTGGTCGAAGGCTCAGGTAAGGCTTTACAGCTGATCTTTAGCCTCTTGGGATCCCAGCAACTCAAATGATGGGCCAAGTGCAAAACAGCAAGCAGCCCGAGGTCAAAGAACCTTTACTTCAAATTGGAACTTGGTCATAAATGGAGAGGAAGCCACTAGTTGATCGTGGGGCTATGAGAATGCTTGCGAACTCTGTCCAGGGTCTGACTGCAGTTTCTCTCTGTGCCGCCCTCTCTCTGCCGTCTGTGTTCCATGTGGATTCAGGCAGACAGGGGACCAGCTGAGTGCATTCTGAGCTGCATGGTGCACTAGTGGAGCTGAGCATTGCCACGGCACTAGAAAGCATGGGGTGGAATACAGGGATGGTTGCAGCCCCCCAGAACGAGGCATTTCCCCCATCTCTCCCCAAGCCACCTAAGACATCATTTGTGTATGACATGTTTTAGGATCCTGTTTGCTCTCTTTAGAAGGGCTTTCAGTACTGCTGGTCCCTGCTCCCAGCTCAGATTCGCTTCCTCTTTAGCATACACTAATACAGATTTTGCTGTGCTTTCCCCCCGCCTCGAGGTTTAAAGTGGATCATACAAAACAGCTCCCCCAGGAAACAGAGCTCTAAAGGCTGTGAGAGGCAGTGCCCCCTGGCATTCTGAGCTTTTTCAGAATCAGAGACAGCCAACAGCAAACATCGAGGCTGCAGGCAGAGACTGATGGTAGCATTAAAAGAAACTCAGAGCAAGAGGCTGGTAGGCAGTGGATCTGAGAGCAGGTGGAGAATGATGCACCATAGGAGAGGTAGGGTACGTCTTAATTAGGCAGAGGGCCCCAGACAAGTGCTGATGACAGAGTCCAGTCCCGCTGCAACTGCTGCACCTGCCATCCCAAACTTACAATCACAATATGACTCACGGCTCTGAGACTCCAAAGCTCTCAGTTCTCCCTCAGGAAGCAATGGGAGAAGCAGCCACACTGGGCTTCTGGAGGGTCCCACATACCCGGATGCCCCAGACTTGCCTGGAAGAAAGGAGTTGTCTGCAGCTGCAGTTCCGACCGGCTATGCCAAGTTATGCCTAGCAGCCCACTAAGTAGGCAAACGGAGAACCCTGGCTGCAGCAGCTCTCCTCCCTCTCGGCCCCTCCAGGAAGCCCCATCCTGAATTTCAGCCACGACCCCTCAGCTTCTCCTCTTTACTCAGCTCCACACTCCTCCTCCAGGCTTTCCAATCCCACAGCTGCTCCCCGCTCCCCACACCACTCCTCTGACATTCACATTGTTAAGCAATTGTACAGACAGCAAACCGAGTCTTTCGGTTTCAAGCTGAAGCTCCCAGACAAGCCAGCCTGGGCCACTTCACTCTCCCAGGCACGTCTCTGACCACCCTACCCACAGGCCCCCGCCTAGACACTCCTCTTCGGCCCAAGCATCCTGGACATCTTTTTGCTTCCGACCTGCCATCGGACCCATGGAGACCTGGTGTCCCCGGCCTCTCCTCTCCCCACTCAGAGCTCTGAATCCACACGAGAAAAGGAAGCAAAGAGACTTCCACACCTTTGCTAGCAGCACCTGCTCCAGCAAGCTCCCAAAGCCGCTGGAACCATCCAGGCTGCCTGGGGCCCCACACCCCCTTCTCTGGCGGTTTTAGCTTCAGCCCAGCCCACAGGATGCAGTGCCTGATGGCACTTCCGAGCAGAAAGAGAGGAAAAAAATGCCACCTCGTCAATGACAAGCTGTTCCAATCAGGCAGCTCAGACACCAAATGCCCTGGACAACAGACAAATCAGGCCTCCTCCCTCTGGTTGGGAGGAGGCCCACTCAGCACATGGGGAGACGTGAACCCCCACGGCAAGCTCCCTTCTCACCCCCCACATCTGACCAGACAACAATGCTCCCTCCCAGCAGGCAGACTTCTCCCATCAGTTCCAACAACTCTGGCCAACTACCCTCTCCCCAGCTCCAAAGCACAGGGAGACCCCAGACCAAGCAGGAGACCACTGGCGTGGCTCCTCCCAACAGGACCGCGCACAAGAGTAAGCTGAAAACCAAGTACTCACCGTGGTGAAGTCTTGGTGGCCACACTCCTGCCCTTTGAACTTGCAGTAGAGCATCATATCCTTCAGGTCGTGGCCCACGCGATGCAGGAACTCCAGCATGCTGAACTGCTTGGGTCGGTAGTGTTTGAAGTTGGCCTTCTGCCGCAGGGCCTCCAGCACGGCGGGGTCGGCCAGGTGGGGGTCCGGGATCTGCAGGTTCACGTCGAGCAGGGCCAGCAGCTCGCCGGCATGGTACAGGTCGTTGGTGGTGAGCCTGGAGAAGCGGAAGCCGTTGAGGTTGCAAAGGGTCACAGCTGGGAAGACCAGACTCTGGGCCACCACCTCGTCCACCTTGGTGACGTGCTGGTAGGAGAAGTAGTAGGACACCCTCTCGGAGCTCTCCACCAGCAGCAGGCCCAGGGAGCACACGAAGGCCACGGCCCAGAGCACACGCCGGACGGTCAGCGGCCCGTACACGAAGATGTGGCGGATGCCGTGGAGGGTGGAGGTGTTGGCGAAGATCTGGAGGCTAGAGGGCTGCAGGCTGCCCTCGCTGGGGCTCTCCTTGAGGTCCATGGGGACCCTGTGCAGTTCCGCCACTGGCTTCAGGTTGATCAGATCTCAGAGAGTTCCCAGTCCTCCAGCTCAGCTTAAAGCTTGCCGTTCAAGGGAGAGAACCCCCGACGAGCATCAGGCCAGGTGCGCTGAGTTTATCCTGACAGCCCAGCCGCCAGCTGACGGGGGTGAGTGTTTATATAAAACCCATTCAAACTCTAGCTCCTGATTTTTTCCAGGCGATAAGGAGGGCTGGTTTTATTTAGGGAGACACCAAGGTGATGTGGAAGAGATGTGGGTGGGAAGGGAGAGCTTAGCCAATGGAAATACAGTCCTCCCCCCTACACACGCCACTAGAGACATGATTAAAAGCGAGAGCGAGGGAGAAAATGCTTAAAACAAGTCGCTGAGCAGCTCGGAGCCTGTTAACCAGTGCATGATGCCCCGTGTTAACCATCCCGGGGATGTCAGGGCGGCCACGCTGATGCACTGCGGGCGGGCGCAGCGGCCGAGCCTCCCAGCCGCTGCCGCCGCCACCGCCGCCGCCGCCGCCGCTCGGTCCTCTCCCCCGCGCTGTTCTGGACTCCGGATTCCGTTTCTCGCCGCCGGTCTCCGTCCCTCCTCTTCTCCTCCTCCAGGCCCCCTTTTGGGGGCGAAATTCCAAATGCCGGCAGCCGCGGCTCGGAGCGGAGGCAGTGCGCGGCCGCGGAGAGGCGAGGACCAAGGCTGGAAGCCGGGGGCTCGCTCGCTCGGGGACTCGCCTCTCCCCGCCTCCCGGAAGAAAAGCAAGACCCTGAGCGCACGGAGCGAGCTGGCCTCCCTCACCCCTCCTCCTCCAGGCTGCTGGGGGGGAGGGCGCAGCGGGGAGAGCGGGGGCGAGGCCTGGTGGGGGCTGGGGGCCGGGCGAAAGTTTCTTCGTAAACCTCTTTTAAAGGTTGCTAATGGGGGCTTCTCCCCGAAGGTGGAAAGCCAGCCCTGGAGAGAGGACGTGACACCCCGCCCCCGCCGATGGCAGAAAGGCACTTGATAAACTCCCTTGAGCCAGGTACGCGGGTGGAGGCAGCATTCCTTTGCACCACGGTGTGTTGTTCCCAGGTCAGTCTCAGCCTGGGGGTTCCAGAGGGGAGATGCTGCAAACTGGGGAGGAAAGGGCAATCTAAAAACCACAGTTCCTCTGCTAAAGGCTGGAGGGGTACATTCCCGGGAGCCCGAGCCCCGCCTGCAACAGAAAAGCCAGGCGCCCCGTGCAGCCCCCAGAGAAAGCAACAAGTAGCCTGCCCCCCTCCCCGGGCAGAGCCTGCAGGAAATTGTAGCTGGGGGGGAAAAAAAGACAGCTGGGGTTCTAGGAGGGCTGGCTGCATTCCCTTTGGGGTGTGTGTGTGTGTGTGTGTGTGTTCTGCCCCAGTATATGCCAGATGGAAGCACAGCTGGATCTATAGGTGGGAGCAAAGGACTGGGCTTGCAGCCACCTACCTCTTTTTTCCTGAAAATCCATTGGAAGTCCGCCCCTGCTAGCAGGTGGGTGTGGCTTGCCTGGGCCTGGGATCAAATGACTGGGACCTATAGAATCAATGATGTTAAATCTTCATCAGAAGTTAAGGAATATAAAGTTACAGTGGCCAGCCCAATGCATCTTGCCAAGTTGGGCAAAGCCACCTGGAAGAGCCTTACTGAGCCAACCTCGTGTCCCCAGGGCATGCCAAGCTTAAGTAACGCTCCTTGGGACCTGGTGGTGAAGAAGGCAGCTTAGGGAATGACCCTCCTAGTAGGTATCTACTCTGAAATCTCTCTCCATTCCACCAGAACCTCTTGCTAAACCAGATCCAAACTGAGAACAGTGGGGAAGCACTTTGAGGCAACACATGACATTAAATCAGTGGTGTATTGATCTAGGAACAGAAACAGTAAGCACAAATGACAGAGGCTAGTCAACCTCATGTGCCATCCCAGAGGTCCCAGACCCCGGCCTTGTACACCTGCCTGAATGGGGCACAGGGTTTTCAAATTGGATGCCCAAACTACCTAAGAATCTATCCTAGGCCGGGACCTGTGTGAGGGTGCATTATCATCTCCCTTAACCCTGCCATCCATCTTGGCAGGTGTGTGTGGTTGCTACCCCTCATCTACAGATGAGGAAACAGGTTCACAGAAAGAAAGTGCCCGGACCAAGTTATAAGCTAGCTAGTAAGTGCCAGAGTTGGGACTTGTACTCAGGCACATTTGCCTCTAAAACACAGCTTCAAAAAGCAGATCCAAAGCATTTCTTCCCAAATTCAGGAAGGGGGGAAGCATTTCCATACCACTTTCCCCATCTTGCGCGCGCGCGAGCGAAAACACACACACACACACACACACACACACACCTGCTTGCCAGAATCTTACAAGGTTATATAGAGGCTTTCGCTAGGTTCCATCATCTAAATGGTCTCAATACTTTGCTATCTCAAGGCTGTGTCCTTGAGGCAGCTTCTAGAGTGGAGAAGGCAAGTGGAATGTACATTTTAAGGGCATGGGAAGAAGGGAGGGGTCTCTGATTACCGGTCCAGCTCCTGGGTCAACGGACAGGCATATCCAATGAATGACCTCCTCCAACACTCCACCCCTCATGACTGCCCTTACGATCTTACACGACGCCCTTTTCTGCAAAATTCCTAAGCAGGTTTCAATAGCATGGAGACGCCTCGTTTTTTGTTTTTGTTTTGGCAGCTACTTGACTGCACTGGAAACAGACACCACAGTAACCGTCTCCAGTGGTCGGCAAACTGCAGCTCGCGAGCCACATGTGGCTCTTTGGCCCCTTGAGTGTGGCTCTTCCACAAAATACCACATGTGGGAGCATATGTACAGTGCGATTGAAACTTCGTGGCCCATGGAAGAGCCACACTCAAGAGGCCAAAGAGCCGCATGTGGCTCACAAGCCGCAGTTTGCCGACCACTGGCCTAGGCACATGAAAGAGGAAATACTGATGAAGATGATGAGTCCCCAAATAAAGAACCGGTTCTCCGCAGAAAGCCCCATGATCCGAACCACTGACTCATTGAAGCCCTCTAGGCTGGGGATTCGATCACTCAGGGCTTCCATTTGTGTCTTCACGTGACTAAGATGATAAGTTAACGGGCTCTTCAGGTATGAATACACAGCACCTGTTTGGATGGTGGCACAGGTGCCTCCCTGCACAGCAGGAACAATGTTCGAGGCTGTCCTCTTCCGGGGGACAGCTTTTCTCAGAGACGTTTCTGTGTTTAATCAAGACGGGCTTTGCCAGCTATCACATAAGGCTTGCTGGGAGCACTCAGTCCGGGCGTGCATGTGTGCTATACTGTCCTCCAGGCCAATGGAGGGGACAAGGACAGCGGCCCAATGACTGTACGGGGGAAAAAGAAGTGTCCACCTGGCCTTGAGGAGAGGGAGGCTGGCAGCTTCAGGAGCTTGACCTGGTTATGCATAGCATACAGGATGCCAGGGAGGCAGCACGGGCAGGTGTGAGGAGCTGGACTGGGGTAGGATATGGTGACCAGTACCCCCCCCTTTCTCCCCTCTTTCAGTGTGCGTGTTCCGTTCCAAGCGTAGTGCATCTCAACAGGCCCAGTTTACAGCAGGGCAATGGGATCCCAGTGGAGACTGAATGGTTCCCCCTCGCCCCCGGGTACCAAGTAACTCACCCATCCTGGGCAGTCGTTGGAGCCAATTCAAGTCCAACAGGAATCCACAATTTGGGGTGCGGTGGGTGAAGGAGGAAAGTTTATTCGGTGCAAACAGGTCAATTGTGATACGTCGCAGCTGTGGAACAGCTCAATGGCGTGAGAGCTTAATTATGAAATAGCACAGCTGTGGGGCCGAACCGCTAGGGGTGAAGGGGCTTCAGGCATGGCCCCTGTCAGGCTAGGCCCCTAACCAGCTGGCCGCAGCTCTTCTCCTCAGCTCCAGTCCTCCCAGGCCTTCCCTGGGAAGAAAAGTGCCCTCCCTACGCCACGTTCCCGCTGCGGATCCCCACAAATGAGGACCCGAAAATCCTCACAGTATGTTAATCCAAAAAGCACTGTCCTGATTGGCTGGAGTGGAACCACTCTGATTGGTCAGTGAAAATACAAATGCGGATCTAGCTACATAGCTCTGATTGGATGAGGAAAGTCTCCGTCCTATTGGTTGAAATAGGAATCCAGCCAGGCTGGCCTGGCTCAGTAGTTGAGTGTGGATCTACGAACCAGGAGTTCAAGGGTTCGATTCTGGTCAGGGCATATGCCGGGGTTGCAGGCTCGATCCCCAGTAAAGGGCCTGCAGGAGTCAGCCAATCAATAATTCTCTCTCATCACTGATGTTTCTATCTCTCTCTCCCTCTCTCTTTCTCTCTGAAATGAATAAAAATATATTATTAAAAAAAGAAATACGAATACAAAGAACTCCTTTATTAAGGTTGGTTCAGAGGACAGGAAACCAGTTCCGGCTTCTCCCTAAAGTGCGGCTTGCAGGAGAGACCCTATTTCAAAGTGGCAGCTGGCTCCGTTTTTAGATTTCAGCCCAGTTAGCGACCAGGAGCCTTTCTTGGTATGCATCTTCTTTCTCAGGGTCCCCATGGCTGAAGTGGTTTTACCTGTGAGGAATTTAGTCTGTTACTTTTATTCCATTTTTCCTTTCCACTACCCAAGCTGCTTGCAGATTTTAGGGGAGAGGGAACCTCCATTCAACGTCATGTTCTTTCGCCCGGTCTTCTACATTATGACCTTTGGAATGGGACACCCCCCCGCCCCCAATCACTGTCTATTCACCTTGGGTATCCATAGATGCTCCTCAGCTTCTCTAACGCCATAACGGTGGCAAGCTGCTTCTCACAGCAACAGGGGAAAGCTTAGGTTGGGCCAGGCGCCGTGTCCGCACAAACCAAGGTATAGTTGGAGGGAGCAGGCTCATATAACCAATTTGCTCATCTCTTACAGTTGGGAACTCCAGTGGATGGCCCCAGACGCCTTTGGCCATTGCCATGGGTACTATTTAGAACACATAGGATCTGCTGTTACTGCATTAACCAAATTACTGTATTTCAAGGGCAATCTGGCATCCCTGGCACTATGCCATCCCACCCAGGCGCTACAGTGGCCGCTCTTCCTATGCACCCAATCGCCTCTATCTACTGAAGGGACAGTTGCCAAGGCTCATACCTGGGCTAGGGCCTGGGCTTGCTGATTGCAGGGGGTGTCAGGGCATTCTGAGCCAGGACGTGGAAGACAATGAGAACTGCCTCGGGCTCCTGCAGGC